CTTTGCGTCAAGCTATTGGGGAATTAATTGCACTTTACAGGGTTGCGTTTTTTGCCCCAAGCTATTGGGGGATTACAATTTCGAGGCTCCTGTCTTGTGTCAAGCTATTGGGGATTACAATTTGCAGGGTCTTGCTTTGCGTCAAACCATTGGGGAATTGCAATTTGAGGCTTGTGTTTCTCGCTCCAAGCTATTGGGGGATTACAATGTCGAGGATCCTGCCGTGTGTCAAGCTACTGGGGAATTACAATTGGCCGGTTTTGCTTTGCGTCAAGCTATCGGGGAATTGGGCGAGACCGGTTCATCAAATATTTGAAACACGGCCCCCGTGGGCGATCTAGGTTCATCACACATCTTAAACATTCTGCACTTTTGCTGAACTGTTTAACCCGCCCCAACTTTTCACGGACACGCGGCCGCGGCACGCCTGAAAAAGAGAATGAGGGGGGTTGGGGGCGCGCAGCCCCCCATTTGCAACCACAATGTCTGTATCGGGGGTGCTGAAAGGATCCAAATGGCAGGACGCGATTTTGAAGCGAACTTGCGCGGCCTAAACAAGCCGGGCCGGGGGGCTGACGAAGGGGTGCAACACACTCACAGGGAGCTTATTATGTGTGAAGCATTGTCGATGGTGTCTTGGTGCATGCCTGGGCAGGTCTTCTCCATGTGTGAACCAGCATGGTTCGTGCGAAAGCTTGGAAACGAGACAGGGCGATGATTACTTTGAGTTCCGCGAACACACGCACGCGCACACACACACACACAGAGACACACACACACACACACCGGCACACGCGCACTTAACAGACACGCTAGATAGATTGTGTTGTTGTTTCTGAGCATATGGTTTAAACACGTATTTGTCGATTCCGGTTCATCATGTATCTTAAACATGCCCCCTCATTTGGCGATTCCGGTTCATCGTACTTCTTAAACACGCTCCCTCATTAGGTGATTCCGGTTCATCACGATATATCTTGAACACGCCCCCTCATGTGGCGATCCCGGTTCTTCTTCGCCCCCTCCCCCGATTGGGCGACTCAGTTTCATCATATATCCTCAACACGCCCTCTCATTTGGCGACCCAGGTTAATCACATATCTTAAACTCGCCCCTCATCATATAAACACGCCCCCTCATTTGGCGACTCTGGTTCATCATAATATATCTATTTGCTAAACCCGCCCCCAACTTTTCCCGGGCTGCCTGGGCCAACCCTACCAAGGACCCCAGACCAGAGCCAACCCTAGGGAAAAAAACACGGGACCTCTAAACTCGGAGGCCGCATATGGAAGAGGCGGCACGGGTTGCTTCTCGCACCGCTCACTCCTTCGTTTTTTGCTGGAAGACTGGTATCATGGCACATATGCAACCTTGCTTGCGGTTTGCAATGGACATGCATTCCGGCATTGGACCATACTTACAGACCAGCACTGAGAATTGTGCCCACCTGTATGAACCCTCTGACAAAGACACTTTAAAGACAACAAGAGCCCAGGAAAAATTCACATAAAGCCAACACCGCCGGAGGAAGTGTAGTACTCATTGCATGTTTTTCGAGAAATCTTAACATGCCTCAGTTCGGCACAGCAGGGCTCCGACCTTGAGATGCATGCAGCATGCAAACTGGGACCCTGGAATCGGGTTCTCGCAACAGCTGCTAATTTCCGATAATCCTCGTCACTCAAAACAAACATAGCCCCTGCACCCCTGAATTGGCTGAAAAAGCCACCGCGCGGAACGATGTACCACTACTGTTATCCACTACTGCTATATTCTATTCAATAATGATTCAGTAGTGCTTACGTTCTACCAGCGCCTCCAGACCATGCGAAGCAAAGTTCATGGCATCCGCCGGGGGCGCTGGGAGATGTGAGCTGCGTATGACTTCTCAACAACTTCAGGTTTGGGATCCTCTGTGGTTGTACAGTTGCTGTTGTTCCGCACTTATTAGTTTGCGGCTTGATGTGGCTTGTCTTGTCCAAGATATCCACCAGGTATGCAAAATGAGCCTTGCAATGTCTACAGCACCTCATCGCTCCATTTTGTGGTCCTTCGGGTATGTATAGTTTCAGCAAACGCTGCAGCAGCAAGTAATGGAACGAACATCAGGTCAGACTCAAAAGTTGCCACTGACTTACAGCAGCATTACAGACTACAGCATCTCTGTAGATAGGCAAGCAACGAACCAGGATCCCGCATGGGTCACTGTCAGCAAATGCAGAAGACATTCCTGCGCTTGGAGTCCCGACGGCGTAGAAACAGCGGTCCACACGGTTTTGAGCCTGTGACGACCCGGCACCGTGCTGGCGATACTGACATTGTAATTGCCAGCTGTATGGTGCTAGACTTTACCAAGCAACTCTCTCCCACGGCTCCGACTGCAAATTTCGTAGTCTGGATGTTCACATCGGTATGTGTCCAGTTGTTTAAGTCTCTGCTCTGAGAGGGTGAAGGCATCCAGACCGAATGGCCGGGACAACCTATTGAAGTATTCTCTGCGTGACCTTTCTCGTGGGCCGCTGTACTGCTCTATAAGCTTTTGCTGCCATGGCATCATGTGCGTGAATGCTACCTCCTCTGAATGAGTTGGACCAGGAAAACAACAAACCCAATGAGGTGGCTTGATCGAGATCTCTTCCCCAAGTGTTGATCCTGGTGTTACGCGGTGGTTTGGTCTGGTCCACAAGCTCTGCTTCAATCGTGTTGCCATGGAGTTCAACTTCTTCTTCGTCCAGGACGTGCACTGTGCTGTGGTAGATTGCATTTGCGGTGTGGTCAACCCTGTGAGCACGTGTCGGCAGCACGTGGAATGTCATATGCCATGATCTGATCGTGTTTGCTTGTGTGCCTTGGTCCAAAAGCCGTGTGTCAAACCACGCCAGGCATGCACACGCAGATGCGCACTTGCAAGAGTCAGAACTCAGACAATGAAACCGGGTTTGCCATGGAGTGCCCAGTGCCCCTGCATGCTTGCCTTGGGCCATGGACCCTAAGCTTATAGAATCGTGTGCACACCAGTTTAAGTTGCCTCTCCCTCTCTGACAACACTCTGAGCACAAGCATCCAGACTCGGTGTGGCCCGACATGATGAAGCTGAGTACGCACTTTGAGAGCTGGACGACCCTGAATAACCGGAAATTTGCAGCTGGCATAAGGCGGCCAGCCTTGTAAACCGTGGAGAATTGACCTGCATGGACAGCTAGGTTTAGTTTGCCCTACTTGGGAGGCTGCGAAGAACTACAAATACTTTCAAACTGTCCAGAACTCCCACCATTCCACGGCCGATTCCATCCCCGTATATAAACCCGAAGATACCACGGCACAGGACTGCAACAGTATGCGGTTTCCCACAGGAACGAGCAACAACGCTCTCGATCAAACCATGCCTGAGCGACACGAGGAGCGACATGTCAGAAGATGCGCGAGCTGCTGGTTTTGATCTCCAGACATCGATTTTTCGTGAATCCGCACCCACTGGGCCTTTGCCGATCAGCTGAATCTCGGAGAACTCGCGTCTCAAACGGCCTCACAACGGTGCTCAGCGGTCCGCCTAAGTACGATGTACCCTCTAGTGCATGTCCACCGGCCTTCGTTCATGTCCGGCCTTGGATGAGCAAGGGAAGTTTCTTCCCTCAATCCGGCCTACCGTTTCAAGGGCCTTGGGCTGATAGCTTCCCAGCTGCTCTTCCTCTGGCGACCGGCGCCACTCCGAGCGACTGGGGGGAGAGGTTGGTCTCATGCGAAAAGCTGGCCTTGGCAAAGGGCCATTCACTGCACCCACCAGCGGAATGCCATGCTCCCCATGAGGTCTCAGCGTTCGAGGTGAGTTCGGCACTTGACGCAGCTCCTGCACGGACATGTGGCATGTGATGTGGGCTAACCTGACATCTCCATGACATTGTGAAACATCTGTCTCACCCTACCCGGAATCAGACAGAAAGCCGACCAGGTTGCTGCAGAGACAAATCGGGAGAGTTCCCTGCATCTGATATACTCACAGCATGCTTGGAACAGCGGAAATTATATCATTTTTTGGCCAGCGCTGTGAATGAACTCCTGGACTTAAAATGAGTTGGCCTGTGATGTCACCAGCGTCCATGACCTGTGCAAAACACAACAGTATGATTGCGAAAGATCTAGT